TTTGTTTATGAGGGTCTTGTACATTATCTTCTGGCCTTGGGGCCTATTGACATTTTATGCAAGTCAGGTGAATGTAAACCTATTTTCCATTTCTCTGGTGACCTTAACCGAAAGGTAGCAGTCACATAGGGCAACAGTACAGAGTAGAAGTATAACCTTGTTAACATAAAAACTAATCCTTCTGCCGAAGTTGTCAGTTGCGTTTATCTAAGAAGTTTACCCCACACTGACTCCGACTTTGGTGAGGCAGCCTCTGCCTAGCACTCACGGGTGACAATTAACAACCATCTCATTGTTACCACACTAGGGCTAAGCTCTTATTTTTCTAGATCTTTATACTAACAATGGTTTCCATAACACAACCTTAGCACATTAAGAGCAAAAACACAGCAAGCAAAACACAGCAAGCAAGCATCAACCCAATAACCACCTTTAGAATAATTTTTCTTGTGTTTTCTAATAGGGCTTCCTCACACCCCAAAGGGCTCTATGTCCATTAGGGCCTTTATATGATCAGGTTCTTTATGCTGTTTTATGATTAGGGTATTATGAGCAGTCATGCATATTAGTACCAAGGGCATAAATGCATTTGCCAAACAAACTAAAATACCAGCAAAGGAGTTTAAATTAAAACACTCCTTTCACCCTGTATACTTATAAAATACCACCACCTGGGAAACTTATTGATTAAAGTTCTAAATTGATTCTTACTTGGAAAGAGATCGGGGAAGGCCCTCTGCCTGTGTCACAGAAATTAGGGAGTAGTCTACTGAAGCAAGCATCAGAAAGACAGATACCATCTTTAAGGTGAGCGCTGGGGGCAGTTTTTCAGAATCCCTGAAAACCTGATCCGCCTTGCCTGTCAGGTTTTCTCCTCATGACCTTGTCATGGGTGGGATCTCGTGAGCTGGCTCCCAGCATGAATGTTAAACTTTAAGCCAACTTTTTCCCTCTCCTCTTTCACTTGCATCAAGAGGCTCTTTTGTTCTTCTTCACTTTCTGCCATAAGGGTGGTGTCATCTGCATATCTGAGGTTATTGATATTTCTCCCGGCAACCTTGATTCCAGCTTGTGCTTCTTCCAGCCCAGCGTTGCAGATTATTAACTAGAACTTAAAATTGAAAATAATACATGGACATGATTTTTAAAAATTCCAAATCAATACAAAAGGATATATAAAAATCTCAGGACTTCCCTAATGGTCCAGTGCTTAAGAATCCACCTGCCAATGCAAGGGACCATGGGTTAGGTCCCTAGTCAGGGACCTAAGATCCTGCAAGCTGTGAGGTATGACAAAAATAAATTAATGCGTTCAGCTTCAAGTAAGAGAAACTCCTGTTCAAACTAGTTTCATTAATAATTATATCTGACCAGACAGGAATTAGGTTTGGGGGTTGGCTGATTTAGTCGCTGGAAATGGGGCAGAGACCTCTGTATCAGTTGACTTTGTGATTAAAAACTATGTGCCATCTATCATTTCCACTTTTGCAAAGAATATCATTTGTGCTACAGAAAGAAAAGGATCAGACATTGAAATGGGCACATACCAAATTTTACACATTGGAGACTATTGATGCATTAACTTGTACCACCCGGTCAGAAATTTTGTATAGGCTGCCTGCCATGTCTGTGCATTTAAATGTGCTTGTTTTTTAATGCATCATTGTTTAGCAAGGTCAAAGCTCTGTCCTGGCCTTTTAAAATTCAGGCCTGCCCATTCTTGTGCAATTGTACAAAGGACTATACCTACATCTCTACAGTACATGCTCACCACACTCAAATGTCTAGGAAGATCTAGATTTGGTCACATATTCTACTCTTGATATAATGGTCAATTATGCAATAATGAGTGCAGGAATAACAAATTCAAAAGATCGAACATTTCTTGCTAATCACCTTTCAGGTTTTTGGATTTTATTTAACTGGAGAGTATCCTGAGATTGCAAGATGTTTTAAATTTTTTAAATAATGTATTATTATTTAGCTGTAGCAGACAGGATTTTTCTCAAGATCATGTAACCAAAATAAAGGAGTAAACGGACTATTAAGATCTGACAAAGACCGCAATCGTCACCTGTGACTCCCAATTTCACATCTGTATCAAAATAGCTTCATTTTACCATTCACTATTTTTATGAGCAGTTTTTACAAATTAAAACTTTAACATCAGTTCAGTTCAGTTCAGTCGCTCAGTCGTGTCCGACTCTTTGCGACCCCATGGGCTGCAGCACGCCAGGTCTCCCTGTCCATCACCAACTGCCGAGTTTACTCAAACTCTTGTCCATTGAATCAGTAATGCCATCCAACCATCTCATCCTCTGTCGTCCCCTTCTCCTCCTGCCTTCAATCTTTACCAGCATCACAGTCTTTTCAAATGAGTCAGCTCTTCGCATCAGGTGGCCAAAGTATTGGAGTTTCAGCTTCAACATTAGTCCTTCCAACGAACACTCAGGACTGATCTCTTTTAGGATGGACCGGTTGGATCTCCTTGCAGTCCAAGTGACTCTCAAGTCTTCTCCAACACCACAGTTCAAAAGTATCAGTTCTTTGGTGTTCAACTTTCTTTATAATCCAACTCGCACATCCATACATGACTACTGGAAAAATAACCTTGACTAGATGGACCTTTGTTGGTAAAGTAATGTCTCTGCTTTTTAATATGCTGTCTAGGTTGTTCATAACTTTTCTTACAAGGAGTAAGCATCTTTTAATTTCACGGCTGCAGTCACCATCTGCAGTGATTTTGGAGCCCCCCAAAACTTTTACATTTAAGCTAATAAAATGCTATTTTAATTATTTTACATTGGGATACCAAAAATTTCACTTAACAAAATAACTCTTCTGTTGTTTCATTACCGCTTGCCTACCCTGGGCAATTGTAACAGCAGATTATGTTACAAAATCAGAGTCTGAAAATTAATCCATTTTTTTCCTGTGAAACAATATATTTTAAGGAGGGTAGTTGCCACAGATGTTAAGATGGAAAGCTGATGGGGTTAATTTTACACAGCGAAACTTATTAGGATCTATAAGGAAAGTGACTGGAGGAGAAAAGGACAACTCACTCCAGTCCTCTTGCCTGGAAAATCCCATGGACAGGGGAGCCTGGTGGGCTACAGTCCATGGGGTCCCAAAGAATTGGACACGACTGACCACACACAGCATAAGGAAAGTGAGTCAAAATATATATGGCTCCCCTGAGTTAAATTAAAATGTAATTTTCAAAGTTATACACATTATAAAAAAATTAGTTCATATAGTTAAAACTTCAAAACAGAACTGGCTATCCAAATTACATATTTTACTATTGCCATCTAAATATGTCCCTTGTGAGATGTGGTAGAAAAACAGGATTCAGAGTCAAAGGATGAATTTGAGTTCTATTACTTAGGAAAGAAATTCCTCATTCAGGTCATTACTATGATAAAACACAATCACCTCACCAAAATGATGTGAGTTGAATAAAAGTGGACAGTGCATGTGATGTAGCAAATATTATAAAATCAGAGTTAATATTTTATTCTTAGGTTATATTTCCCCATCTTGGACAACATTACATTCTTGGCTTCATAGAAGTCCTAAACAAGTAATCATGTAGAACTATGTTGTAGGTCTAAAATAGTTATCTGTATGAAGGGTCAACACTGAAATTCTTTAGCCTTTCTAAATTATTCCAATGACGTTTTTGCTAAACAGACATAATCTCAAGTCTATATTGTTTCATCACAGAATGTCATTTTCCAGAAATGAAAGGTAACAATGACATACAGAGGCTCAAAAGATTTTCTAAAAGTTTTTAATATATTATTTAATGATAAACTCTTACAAAGACATTTTACGATTACATCACAACAAGCAATTGTTTACTGGGACAAAGAAGACATGCTAAAAGACGAATGAATTATTATAATTAAATATGCATAGCTTACTGACATTTTCCTTAAAACAAAAAAATTAGGATGTATCCACTGAATTCTAGGCATTCTACTATCACTTCTGTTAACAACTGGAGTGAAACTTCCAAAATTATCATGATCTTGAATGTCTCGTTAGATGTTACAGGGCTTTTGTTTTTCTTTTAGCCACTAGATTTTTCAGGAAAAATTCACCTAATTTAGGAAAAATAAAATATATTAATATCAACTTAAGGTACAGATTTCAGAATAATTATACTTCCATGTCTCCCTTTAAAGAAGACTCCTGTATTCGTCGGTGTCTCCTTCTCCTCCAACCTCGACGGCAGTAATTTTCTGACCCCACAGATCCCCCACATCTTTGGCTCTTTCCTCAACCATAATGATCATCATCCTTAAAAGACTCTTCTGTCACTACAATTCCTACCATTTTTCTTTCGAGTAACCCAACATATTATAAAGGGTGACCCTATCGTATCTAAGGTGCATCTATTCTACTTTATGTGCAGTATCTATTCCTCATCACTGATAAAGTACTGCTGCTGGTTGGCACCGTTATTTCAGAGAGCAACTCGGCTACATTATTAGCCTGGATCCAACGTTTATATAACAGAGACCCTGCTGCAGTTGAGCCACTTCCTTTGATGGAATCCCTTTAGCTTATTCCCCTCTAGGGAAGCAAGAGCTCTCCACTTGTCATGGGCTTGCATTCTCTCCACGCTCTAGGACGTGTCTGTGCACTAATTAGCTACTTAGAGGGGGGCACTTTCACTTTTCCGGTCTTAAGGTTCCACTTCGTTTCTGGCTGTTACACATGGCTCAGTACTCCAGGCCCAACATCACGAGGAGTCTGATGAACTTCTCTGTCATCTTAATGTTGTTGCTTAGTCACTCAGTTGTGTCTGACTCCTTTGTGACCCCATGAACGGGAGCCCACCAGACTCCTCTGTCCATAGGACTTCCTAGGCAAGAATACTGGAGGGGGCTGCCATTTCCTTCTCCAGGGGATCTTCTGAGTGGAATGCAATGACTGTGATGTGTACAC